GTGTGTGTGTGTGTGTGTGTGTGTGTGTGTGTGTGTGTGTGTGTACTTGTTTTGCCTACAGAATGAGGACCATGTTAGGTTTTTATTCAAAAAAAGTGAGGTCCTTTTTGGAAAGTGAGGACATTTTCTTGGTCCTCACTTTATTTGCAGCTCTGCTGTGTCTTACTAGTCAGGTTTAGAGGTATGGTGTGAATTAAGTTTTTGGTTCAGGTTAGGGTTAGCTATAGACCAGTAATGGTTAATTTTAGGGAAAACRTCTGGGTTAGGCATAAATACAGTTACAAAAATGAATGGAAGTCAATACAATGTCCTCAGTTTGATGCAAATACAAGAATGTGTGTTTGTGTGTGTGTGTTTGTCTGTTGAATTTCTACATTAGCAAAGACTGGATTTGGATTATTTTCATATTATCACACTTATAATTTTCTTTTGCTGTTTATTTTTACATTTTGTYATATAAAATGAACACTTTCTAGTTCAGACACAAGACTGTGTGAGGGCTAGTGACCAAAGTTCGGCCCGCCAATTGGTTCATTCATCTCTTACTGTAAGCCCAAACCCCCAGTTTTCTACTTTAATTACTAAAAGTTTTTTCAGTTAAACATAGACATGTTTGGTATCTACAGAAACGTCAGAATCTTGGCTACAAGCTGGTAAAAACATTCTATGAAAACTCAAGACATTTAAAATTACAAGCAGTTGAATATAAAACTATGAAAGTGAAAATAAAATTGGTTTAAAATTTTGGCAAGTCAGAGATGTTAAAGTAATATTTGTGTTAAATATGAGGCATAGTGGGTTATTTTTGTTTTTTGATATTCAGGGTTCTATATGTTGTATTCATGATTAAATACAGCAAAATAAACTATGTCACAGATAACATATCTTTGTAATACTTGGTTTATTTACATCATGTCTTTAATTGCTGGATGTTCGGCCCCTGAGCTTTTGGCCTGCAGTAACTGTGGCCCCCAGAGCAATTTAGTTGAATACCCCTGCTGTATGACTTCTCTGATATACATTTTGTTGACAAAACGTACAGTAAAAAGTTACACTCACCGGCCACTTTATTAGGTACACCACGCTAGTAACGGGTTGGACCCCCTTTTGCCTTCAGAACTGCCTCAATTCTTCRTGGCATAGATTCAACAAGGTGCTGGAAGCATTCCTCAGAGATTTTGGTCCATATTGACATGATGGCATCACACAGTTGCGCAGATTTGTCGGCTGCACATCCATGATGCGAATCTCCCGTTCCACCACATCCCAAAGATGCTCTATTGGATTGAGATCTGGTGACTGTGGAGGCCATTTGAGTACAGTGAACTCATTGTCATGTTCAAGAAACCAGTCTGAGATGATTCCAGCTTTATGACATGGCGCATTATCCTGCTGAAAGTAGCCATCAGATGTTGGGTACATTGTGGTCATAAAGGGATGGACATGGTCAGCAACAATACTCAGGTAGGCTGTGGCGTTGCAACGATGCTCAATTGGTACCAAGGGGCCCAAAGAGTGCCAAGAAAAGATTCCCCACACCATGACACCACCACCACCAGCCTGAACCGTTGATACAAGGCAGGTTGGGTCCATGCTTTCATGTTGTTGACDCCAAATTCTGACCCTACCATCCGAATGTCGCAGCAGAAATCGAGACTCATCAGACCAGGCAACGTTTTTCCAATCTTCTCTTGTCCAATTTCGATGAGCTTGTGCAAATTGTAGCCTCAGTTTCCTGTTCTTAGCTGAAAGGAGTGGCACCCGGTGTGGTCTTCTGCTGCTGAAGCCCATCTGCCTCAAAGTTCGACGTACTGTGCGTTCAGAGATGCTCTTCTGCCTACCTTGGTTGTAACGGGTGGTTATTTGAGTCACTGTTGCCTTTCTATCAGCTCGAACCAGTCTGCCCATTCTCCTCTGACCTCTGGCATCAACAAGGCATTTCCGCCCACAGGACTGCCGCTCACTGGATGTTTTTTCTTTTTCGGACCATTCTCTGTAAACCCTAGAGATGGTTGTGCGTGAAAATCCCAGTAGATCAGCAGTTTCTGAAATACTCAGACCAGCCCTTCTGGCACCAACAACCATGCCATGTTCAAAGGCACTCAAATCACCTTTCTTCCCCATACTGATGTTCGGTTTGAACTGCAGGAGATTGTCTTGACCATGTCTACATGCCTAAATGCACTGAGTTGCCGCCATGTGATTGGCTGAWTAGAAATTAAATGTTAACGAGCAGTTGGACAGGTGTACCTAATAAAGTGGCCAGTGAGTGTATATTTCACAGTAAAAATATACTTACTGAATTTAGCATAGTGTGATGCTTGTTATTACCCGAATGAAAAGGAGAAGGCAGAGCAGAAATGTTGTTACCCCATCTGTGTACTGTTAGCAAAATATGTCATGAACCACTGAACGGATCTTTAATTGAATAAGCACCTAAACCAGAAGTGCCCTAACTATTTCTCCCAAGAGAGCCAGAATTAAAATCTATCCTAGGGCTGTAGGCCAAAAGCAGTAATATAATACATGAAATGCAAATACTCTTTAAGTAAAGTCCTTTTATGTTTTATAGTTAAACTAGCAGCCAGTGCGGTGGCTCATGGGACATTTAATAAATTGATGAGTATTTGTGGTCTTTTAAAAGGTGCAAATCTACATGTTTTTTTTAATCTAATCTTAATGTCTTTTGTAGTTACTTGTATTTTATGTTTAATTTGAATATAATTTAGGCCTTTAGCAAGGTTTGAAAACGTTTAATGTGTGATATATTAAAATAGTGCATGGAAGCTAAACTTAAAAGAGTGAAATAAATCAAATCAATAATTGATTTTTGTTCATTTGGATGCCTTTGGTTCATGTTTGGTTTATAATTCAGTGGAACTAAGAAAAAATAAAAGAAAAACATTCTACATTCCTCTGAGCAGTAACTTCCACTGATAAATGTCTATTTCATCCCTACTAAAGTCCAGATGACAGCTTTCACACTCCTTTAAATAATCTGCTTTAATATAGCAATCCCTCCTGAGTTTATTTTGATAAAACCGAACAACTGGAATACGAGCATACCCGTAACAGCTGCCTCAAGCTGTGAACAGAGTATGAGATGATCCATGTTGTTTTTTTATTTATTTGCACAGGAAATATTCAGGATAATTTGCAGAGTTTGGTTGGAACTCTGAATGCTGTTACTGTTAACATGCGTACCTCACAGTGGGGGGGAATTCTGGAGACGCTCTCCCACAGCTGTTTGTAGCACTCAGTGAGCATAAATATTTTTAGCTGCTACCTCCAATACGATTCTTGATGGAACCCATAAATGCAGAGCTAATGTGCATCTGTTAAAAACCCTGAACATTAGTCTAAAAAATGTACAAATAGTTTGCCATTAAGACATTATACAGTCCTCTCAGAACTCCCAACTTCCCAAAGTACTGTATATTCAATATGACCACCACAGGTAATTGAATTGCTGTAACTGCTGCTGTAATTGCTGTAACTCAGCTAGTTTTACATATATTTTGATAACAGCTGGTCTGGTGATAGCTGAGTCATCCCCATTACATACACTCTAAGAAATGAAATGTTGGGATTTACTTAAACATGTTATGTCAACTGGTTCCACTTAACTGAGTTGAGTAAATCCAAAGCAATGTACCCAATTTCTAACCAAAGAACATGAGTATGTTGCTTTGAATTTATTCAACTCAGTTAAGTGGAACCAGTTGACGCAACATGGTAAAGTAAATCCAACGTCTGTTTTTAGAGTGTACTTCGAGTACTACCAGATAACATGAAATCTTTATTTGAAACTTTGACATTAAAGGGGCGGTAGTATGTATTTTCCAGGCACATTCAATTCTATTCCACAATCAAGTAACTATGAAAATGGTGTATATACTGTATCAAAAATAAATCTGTCTTTGCATCATCGCCTATCTAAACTCCTTGAAATTGGCCTCTCTTTAGGAAACTCCTACCATTTTTGACACTCCCACTTCAGCATGTCTTCACAACAATGCTKAATGCCRTTTACAACCTTTAAGAGAGTTGTAAGAAGGTAGTCTCCTTGGCGTTCAACAGATGGGCAGTTCTACCAGGTTTTTGCTAGTTGTTGCTGCCGCTAGTAGTGGAGTTATGTGGGGGAAACGCTGTGGAATGTAGCTCTGTGGGAGGAGATTTGAGTAAATAGGCGGTGCGCTTTGTTCCAGCAAGTGTTTCAGGCTTGTTGTGGCCGTGCTTTGGGTACTCACGCA